AAAAAAAAAAAAAAAAAAAAAAAAAAAAAAAAAAAAAAAACAGGAGATGGTCCGGGAAGCCAAACCCCGAACCCCCGGGGGCCCCGGGAGACGCGTCCCGCGACGGCGATGCCTCGCTGGAGCCTCGGGAGCTGGAGCGGGAGCGGCGGCGGTAGCGGAAGCGGTAACTGGGCAGACGGAGGATGGCCGAGGGGCCGCTCCCGCCACTGCCGCCCGCGCCGCCGCCGGCCTTGAGCAGGTCCGAGCGAGATTGGCAGTGCGCCTCGCGGCTGCGCTCGATGTAGATATTGACGGCCAGCACGCCGATCACCTCGGCCAGGATGAAGGACAACCCGCCAAAGTAGAAGGACCAGCCGTACGAGTAGTGGTTTTTCTTCTCCTCGTCCCTCTTGGGGCCCGGCTCGCCCGCGTTGGCCGATATGTACACGATCACCCCGATGATGTTGCTCAGGCCTGGATGGAGATGGTCATGTGGGAGCCTAGAGGACCTCCAGTCCTCTGGCCGTCTTAATCCCCTGAAGTCTAAACCGGGGCCTCCACTGGGCTAGGCTCCACCCCAGGAGTATAAGCCCTGAGACCCACTAAGCTAAAAACTGCTCCAGGAGTCTAGGCCCGGCTGCCACTGGTTAAACTCCACTCTTGGTTAAACTCTTATGTCCCGCCCATCTGGTCTAAGCTCCACCCACTGGCCTAAACTCACTCAGGAGTCTAAACCCACCTCACTGGTCTGATTTTTTACACCCAAGAGACTAAAATTCACCTCTATCGGACCGAATTCCACCCAGTAGTCTTAAGTCCTGAGCCCATTAAGCTAAATTCCACCCCTGTTCCCACTGGACTAAACTCTACTCCCGCAGTCTTAGCCCTGCTCGCTAAACTCCACCCAAGAACTTAAGCCCCACCGGTGCTGGGCTAAATTCCACCCTAAGAGTCTAAGCCCCACTGCCATCGGTATGAATTTCACCCCCAAATAGTTTAAGTATCACTCCAATGGGCTAACTCCTCCTCAAGAATCTAAACCCACCAGAGGAATCCAAGTTCTGTTCCCACTGGCATAAACCATCTTCCGGAATCTAAGTCCCATCTTCATTGGTCTACACTCCCACTTCAGAAATCTATACGCCCCTCCCCCATTGGCCTAAAATACCTCCCTTGGAGATCTAGCCTCTGCCCTCTGAGTTAGCGCCACCCCCACCCCTTAATCTTGGCCCCATCCCTACCCGGCCCTGGCCCCTTCTCCAGTCATCAGTTCCACATGCCTTACCTATATAGGTCTAAATTGCACTCTTATGTGGTCAAGGCCTTGCCCCCAGGAGGACTCAGACCTTACCTTGGAGAGTCCTAACAATGGCTAAGAATGGCCCATCCCTGTCCTAATGATCTTGATTCCTCCCACAGTTTAGGTTAATCACCCCCAAGTAGTTCAGGTTCTGCCCCTTCTTGTCTAGCCTCCATGGATCTAAATCTCCCCAACACACATACACACATCTAGGCCCAACACTGAATGGTCTCAAATCTAGCCTTGGTGAGGTAGTCCCAGGTTCAGTTTTCAGATCCTGTCCAAAGTATAAACCCGGATTTCCCCCCCCCCCCAGAGCCCTCCCTCTGCTCATTTTTTGTTGTTAATGGCATAATTCCACTTTAAATCTCTAAGATCTGCCCATTGATGACCTAACCCTCCCTGCACTATAGAGTACTGGCCTTACCAGCCTTAAATGCACCCTAATTAGAATAAATCTTCCTACTCCAAGTCCAACCTCCAGTTTTCTAAACCCCAGGCCCTGTAGGTATAGATCTAGACCACTCCTCTCCACAACACATACTAGGCTATTTAAATGTCTTAAACTCCTTTCTAGGATTGCAAGCCCCACATTCATTAATCTAATCTCCAAGGGTGTGGGGGGGTATATCTATACCCTGTTACCCATTGGTCTAAGTCATCCTGGAGAATCTAAAGCAAGCCCCGCTTTCATTGGCCTAAACTGCATCCTTGTGTACTAGGGCGTTTCCTGCATTCTGCCCTACATTCCAGTCCTAATCATACCTTTAATGAACAGGTCTAAGCTCTGTTCTTAAGTCTCATTATCCTGGTGTGTGCTACCCTAGGCCAGTTTTATTTGAGGTTGGAGGGAGTCTTTATTTTGAGATTTCTCACAAAGCCTAGGCAGTTCTCAAACTCTTCATGTAGCCAAGGATGACACTGAACTTCTGATCCTCCTGGGCTGCAGGTAGGCATCACATCTAGGGGGTTATCCTGGCTGGGGATGGGACCCATGCTTTTGTGTACTCTATTGCCCAGGCACAAGCACAACCCAAGGCCCTAGCTCTTGCGGAAACCAACTTCAAATCCTGGCCTCGGTCTAGCTTCTTGCATAACCTATCTCCCATTGAATTTCCCAGAAAATAGCCTTCTTATTCAAGCAGGCAAAGCTTGGTCTTCGCACCTTCAGTTTCATTTCCCTGGGCCTAGAGCAGTGGTTCTCGACCTTCCTAATGATGGGGGACCCACCCCCCCCCCGAGTCAAAACAATTATTTTTGTTGCTACTTCATAACTGTAATTTTGCTACTGTTATGAATCGTAATGTAATTATCTATATGCAGAATATCTGATATACGACCTCCTGGGAAAGCATTGTTTAACCTCTCAAAGGGGTCGCAACCCACTGAGAACCTCTGGCCTAGAGGGTTTTTCTTAGAACCAGCCCCTTTTATGATCCACTCAGGTCAATTTCTTCCTCTTCAGCTCCAGTCCCACCTCCCTATCGTTAGACTCCTAGTGTCTCAGGTCCCCTCCTCCATCCCAGACGCCTCCTTCAGTTCTCTAGGACAGCTAGGGAATCCGCTCCTTGCCTCCCACTTTACTCACAGACACCAGTCTGTGCATGCACAAACTAAACCTAAACCTACCTTACCCAGCATGGGAGGAGCCTAGGAAAACTCCAGTCCCCAGGGGGCGCTTGGGGCAGGCTGGATTTGCAGTCACATGCGCCCATGCACACGCAGACACCCACGCGTTCGTGGGTGGCCCGCCGCCCGTTCTCTCTGCCTCTCACCTGCTGCCACGAACAGGATCCCCGCGCCCAGGATGATGTTCCTTTTGGATTTGTAGACGCGGGAGGCAGCTACGCACACGCCCCCGAGCAGCAGCAGGATGGCGCTCAAGATCGGGAAGATGCTGGAGGCCCGGACCACTCCTGAGGGAAGGAAAGAAAAGAGAAGGAACGAGAGGAGAGCGCGTGGGCTGTCAGGCGGGCCACTGAGCCCCAGGCCCACCGCACCTCCTGCCTGCTTCCCTCTTTGCTTAGCTAAATTTAAGTCGCTAATTCTGCCTCTCTGGGTCTTTTCCTTTTCATCTCATTCTCCCTCCTGATTTTAAAGTTTCTTTGTTTGTCCACCCCACCTCCCCTCTTTTTTCTCTTCACCTTTATCACGTTTCTCTCTCCCACTGCTTTTCTTTCTCCTTGTCTTCATCCCTCTCTTGTTTGTATCTTCAAATTTCATCCCTCGCTCCCTCCCTGGGTGTACATCCTGTCCTTCTTTATCTCCTTTTTTTTTCTTTCTACTTTTTCACTCGTGCATTCCCTCTCGTTCCTAAAATCCTGGACAGTCAGATTCTATTATTGCTGAGCCTGGTTAGAGCAGCCAATCATAATTAAGACTTTGCCACTATCTCAAGATAACAGCCCAATCGCAGTACATGCTTCCCCAGGGGAGTAGTCAGTCCAGGCTGCAGATTGCAGGCCCAGCGCAGCAGCCAATCTACAACCTTTTACTATACAAAGTTGCCCGGCCATAGACATTCAACCGACCAATCATCACCCAGGATTCCCTGCTGGGCCTGCCCCTCTGGCCCGGGAGCTGAGCTGCTGGACCTGGATTGCCTGGGAAGGGAAACTAATCTAGGAGTGAGGTTCAAGCTCCCTCCAGTCCCGTCCCCCGCCCGTCTCCTTCCAAGAACTCACATTGTCCTTCCTCATCCCTCCCGGATCCTCGACCCCCACCTCCACCCCGCCCACGTACGGAGCAGGTACTCCGCGCTGTCATGGTCGTAATCCGTGTCCTCCGGAAAGTGGTTGATCTTCACGCAGACACCTCTTTTCAACCCTGGAGAGGGGATGGGGACGGTCGGGTCGTCAGACTTAGGGACCGGCAACCCCTGTGTTCTGAGAAGACCCTCCCCTACTCAGATGCACACCCCCAGACCCCAATTTTAAATCCCGCTCTCTCTGGGTTGATTAAGAGGTAGGAATCTTAGTCCACAACTGGTGTCGGGGCAAACTTTGCACCCCTCAGATCTGTTTCCCACCTGTATTAAGAATGCTTTTTAAAGGAAGAGAAGGGGGCGGGACAGGGAGAGGAAAGGGCAGGTGTGGTGGCACAAGCCTGTAATCCCAGCACAACGCCAGAAGTAGAAGCAGGAGGGCAGGAGCTTCGTGGTCACTCCTGGCTACACAGAGAGTTCGAAGGCCAGCCTGGGATGCTTGCGATCCTGCCAGAGAGGGGAGGGGAGGAGAGAGAAGACAGGAGGAAAGGGGAGGGAGAAAGACAATACCTCAGAGGCTGACATCCTTCCAAGTATCCACTACTAGAGACCTTTGCTCTCAGTTTATGTGGCTTCCCATTTTCCCTCCAAGAAGTCAGTGTTGTCGCCATGTCGAGGCACCCTTGTACCCTAAGCTTGTTGAAAAAGCTGGAGATGCATGGAAAAACCAGGACTCCGAAAACACTGCAGCTCCTGAGAACCAAGAGATCATCCTGCAGCTTCATTCCATCCTCTCTCTGACCCTCACCCTCCCACCCACTAGAACCTATCTATTTCAGTCTGTGGGAGCAGATTGTTTTATTGCCTGTGGTATATAGTCTGAGAACACAAAATGCATAAATACATTCATTCTTAAACCCAAGCTCCCTCCAACTTGCTGGTCTTTGCAGATGTAATAATTACTCTGCAGATACAGTTAAGGAGTACACACATGCACACACATGTGTACACACAAGTTGGACCTTCTAGGGCTAACAGTTCCCTAGGCCGTCCCTTGTAGTACATGCATCAGGTAGACTTTTTGATATTCTTTATCTTCTACAAGCTGGGAGTTCCTAAAGGTGGGGGAAGGACAACTAAAATTTGACTTCTTGTATTCCTACCGTTGAATGCCATAGAGCCTGGCTCCCAGGATACCTCAAGGAAGGGATGGATGGATGGATGGAATGAATAATGAATGACTATAAAGATGGCAGAAAGAGGTTGGAACAAGTGAGGCAAAGGAATGCAGGAGAAGAAATGGGAATAAAGGGGGAAATGGAGGGATGGAGTCTGAGGCAGTGAGTAATGCTGTGAGGATCCGATGGTTAGGTGCTTCCTGTGCTGGACAAGTCACTTGATGTGCACTGAAAGAGAGCTTTAGGGGCTGGAGAGGTAGCTCGGTGGGTAAAAGCACTTGCTGCTCTTCCAGAGGTCCTGAGTTCAATTCCCAGCATTCACATGGTGGCTCACAACCATCTATAATGAGATCTGGTGCCCTCTTCTAGCCTGCAGGCATACATGCAGGTGGAACACTGTGTACACAATAAATAAATAAATAAATAAATAAGTAAGTAAATAAATAAATAAATCTTTTTTAAAAGAGAGAGACCAACAGACAGAGAGAGCACTTGCTTCTCTTGCAGAGATCCTAGGTTGAGTTCCCAAAATTCTCATTGTTAGCATTCAGGCACACCTGGCCCACCCCTTGGAGACTGACAAAGTACTTCACCCTGTGTGCGTGCTCAGTATGCAGACTGTAGCTCCTTCCTTTAAAAGGCAGAACTCTGCCTGCTTTCTCTCTCTTCCCTTCTCTCCAGCCCATACCAGTCTCTCTCTCTCTCTCTCTCTCTCTCTCTCTCTCTCTCTCTCTCTCTGCCTGAATGTTAACACACATTCCATCTAAAACCTTCCCTAACTTCGGTCCTGGGGGATTCAATGACCTTTTCTGATTTCTATGAGCACCAGGCATGCTTATAGTGCACATATATACAGCAAGGCAGAACATGCATAGATAGAAAAATAAATCTTTTTTAAATCCTACTGTTTTCTGTTACCATCCTTATTCTGTCACCTTGTTAACATCTGTACTTATTGTTTCTGTGCCTTCACATATAAAGATTCAAAGAATAAGACCTAATTCATTGTGTTGATCCAGATAAACATACCTGAATGTTCTGTTGATCTATTGTAACCTGTGCTGGTCAGTTTCGTGTCAATTTGGCACAAGCTAAAGTCATTTGGGAAGAGCTAACCTTAATTGAGAAAATATTCCCACCAGATTTGCCTGTGGGAAAGCCTGTGGTGCATTTTCTTGACTAATGATTGGTGTGAGAAAACCTAGATCACCATAGTTGGTGCCACCACTGGACTGGTTGTCCTGAGTGCTATAAGAAAACAGGCTGACCGGGCAGTGATGGCTCACACCTTTAATCCCAGCACTCGAGAGACAGAGACAAGTGGATATCTGTGAGTTAGAGGCCAGCCTGATCTACGGAATGAGTTCCAGGACAGCCAAGGCTACACAGAGAGACCTTGTCTTGAAAAACAATAAACCAAAAAAGAAGAATTAATGAATGAAAGAAAGAAAAGAAAAAAAGGAAGGAGGAAGAAAGGAAAAGAAAATAGAAAACAGGCTGAGCAACTTCTGAGGAGCAAACCGATAAGTACCACTCTTACATGATCTCTGTTTCAGTTCCTGCCTTGAGTTCCTGTCCTGACTTCCCTTCATAATGGCCTGTAAACTGTAAGACAAAATTAACTTTTTTCTCTCCATGTTGCTTTTGGTCACGATGTTTTATCACAGCAATAGAAATCGTAGATAGTACCCATTGTTCAGATGAGGAACATAAGGCAGAGAAAGGCTCAACAATTCAGCACTGATGTGAACACCAAAGTGTTCACACACGCACCACTGGAGTGCCAGCATCAGGCCTGTCCATCAATGCAATTCCAGAATCTCAAATACTGTCTCACCCATGGCAAATGCTTAATAAATACTTGTGATAAGGACTGGGTATATAGTCCCAAATGGTAGAGTGCTTGCTTGATACACACAAAGCCAGAGGTCCTAACCCTAGCACAGCATAAAATGGATGCTGTGATGCATGCCTGTATTCCTAGCACCAGAACGGAGAAAGGCAGGAAACTCAGAAGTTCAAAGTTGTCCTTAGTTCCATAGCAAGTCAGAGATTAGCCTGTGCTACAACACAGGAAAAGAAAATAAAAGAAAGAGAAAGCTTGTAATGAAAGAATGAGTGAATGGGCCAAGATGCAAGTAAAATGGTGTTCAGGAGCCCGCAAGTAGGCTTGATGGATAAGGAGCTTGTTGCCAACCTGATGATCTGAGTGAGTTCCATCCCCAACATTCACATGGTGGAAGGAGAGAATCAACTTTCCAAAGTTATCCTCTAAACTCCATGTTCATGTTCATTATGGTGCACATTCTCAAAAATGAGCACAGATGCACATTTGAGCACACACACACACACACACACACACACACAGAGAGAGAGAGAGAGAGAGAGAGAGAGAGAGAGAGAGAGAGAGAATACATAAATAGATTGATCTAATTAAAAAAAATCTTGAAAAGATGTCAGAGACCAGAAAGACAGCTCAGCAGTTAGTGTATCATATCTCTGCAGAGAACCTGAGTTCTATCACCCAGCACCCACATCTAGTAGCTCACAACCACCTGTAACTCCAGTTACAGGGGAATCTGATGCCCCCTTCTGGCCTCAGTGAGCACTGCACTCACATGCACATACACAGACACACATACATTTTAAAAAATATATTCAAAGCTGTGTGGTGGTGATGGTGGTGTGCCTTTAATACCAGCACTTAGGAGGCAGAGGCAGTCAGATATCTGTGAGTTCAAGACCAGCCTGGTCTACAGAGAGAGTTCTAAGACAGCCAGGATGGTTAGGATGGTTATGCACAGAAACTCGGCCTCAATAAATAAAAACAAGCAAACAAACAAAACCCCCATATATTCACTGTCACTAATCATTAGGGAAACACAGTGACAACTATAATGAGATAGTATCTTCTTGCTTTGCTCTGGTTTGGTTTGATGATGAAGGGCCTCACTGTGTAGCAAGGCTCGCCTCAAACTCATCATCTTCTCTTCTCAGCCTCCCAAATGCTGGGATGGTAAATGTGCAGTACCACACTCAGCCCAAGAGGCCATCTTGTATCCACTGGGACTACAGAGGGCAGAAAATCAGATAACAAGTGTTGACAAAATGTGGAGAAATGGGAAAATCGTGTGCACTACTGGCAGGAACAAAGGGTAATGCAGCCACTGGGGGACACAGTGCGGTGTGGAGGGTCCTCCAAAAGTTAAGGACAGGTGACCTGGAGAGAGGGCTCAGTGGTTAAGAGCACAGTGACCTGAAATCAGTTCCCAGCTCCAACATGGCAGTTCACAACCGCCTCTAACTCTAGTTCCAGTGGATCTGATGCCCTCTTCTGAATGTTAAGAGCACAAGGCAGACATGTGGTACACAATCATTCATGCCGACAAAACACCCATATACATGAAATGAAATAAATAAACAAACCTATTTTTAAGTTAAAAATCATAATGTTACATGACCCAGCAACTTTACTTCAGGACTTCAACCTGAAGGAATTGCAAACAGCAATGTGAAGGAGAATTAATACGCTCATGTTCTCAGCAACATTCAAGGTAGCCAAAAAGTGGGAGCAAAAAACATGACGGCTTGTAATGCCAGCTCCTATACGGTGGATGCAGGAGGATCAGGAGTTCAAAGTCATCATAGGCTATATATTGACTCAAGGCCAGTCTCAGCTATAGTACCTTGTTAAAAAGCAAGAAGAATCCAAATTCTCTTCTAACATGAATGCACAAGACAAAGCAAATGTAATGTATACAATGGAGTATTATTGAACCCTTTAAAAGGAAGTGTAATGATGATGTACTTAGTGCTACATCTCTAGTGTTGTCCCAACACACCAGAGGACCTGGGTTTGATTCCCCAGAACCTCCTAAAACAGGATGATGACATATAAGTCTCTCATCCCAGCAGGAGCATCATGAGTTCAAGGTCATCTCAGC